CGGGCTGAGGCCCAACCAGAACGTTTACGCGAGCGGGTATGTCTGCCTCAGCCTGCTCAACACTTGACTGGGAAAGGGGAAGGAGAAGTGGGACCCATCTCAGTCGACGATCCTCCAGGTTCTGGTGTCGATCCAAGGCCTGGTTCTCAACAAGGAGCCCTACTTCAACGAACCGGGAACCGGGAACCGGTTCGGATGCGAGGCGTCTCGGGCCTACAACGAGAAAGTCTTCGTTTTGACTTGCAAAACGACGCTGTATTTGCTCTCGAGGGCGCCGCTGAATTTCAAGGCTTTCACCGCCGCGTTCTATAGGCAGAGAGCGGGCGTGATACTGAGAGCGTGTAGGGCCTACGCGAACGGGCGCGTGGTGGTGGGACACTACAAGGATGAGGATGCTGGTGTTGCGGTTACGAAGGTTAAGCGGAAATTCGTGGCGTCGATGGTGGAGTTGTACCCTCAACTGTTTAAGGCATTTCAAGGAACAGGGGCTTCTTTGGAGGGTTTGCTCGAGCACCTGACGGTGGAGACTCGTTATCCGGCGCCGTCTAAGCCGCGGGGGAAGTGTATTGTGAAAAGGGCGTTTGACAGATTGAAAACAATTTTGGGATTGGGGGGATCGAAGAAGAAGACGAAGGAGGGGGAGGAGAATGAGAATAGTAACAACAAGAATGACGATGGCACGAATGGCAAAGCTGGGGTGGCTGCTGCTGCTGCAGCAGCTGATTGAGATTGGATTGGGAGATGCAGGGACACATTCGAGATTTAGGTTTGGTTCCAGGGGTATTTTTGGGTAAATAAAAGTAATAGGGGATTTATTGATAGGATTTAGGATCGGCTTCTTTTGTTTTGCTTTGCTGGTGTGATGAATGGTTACGTTACGCCGGTACAGGACGTTAGGATTTAACACTTGAATTTGAAGTTTAAAAAAACACACATATACTGAATGCAATGGGACGTAAACAAACGCGAACTTTTCTCCACTTTATTGTCTTTTTTTTTTTTTCTTTTTGGCTTTAAAATATACTGATCTTTAACAAGTTGCTTGCGAAGATGATTATCTTGCGTAATTAACACGCATAAGTATATTAAAAGCATAAAAAACAAAGATAAGTATACGAGATTAGACATACTCATTTATTAGTGAATTTTTTTATATTTTTAATGAGAAAAAGCTTATGAGGAAATTGGCTACTCTCACCACTGATTTACCTTACATTGAGCAAAGTTTTGATTATAACATGACATCCAATCACTGCCCATACTCTTCTCTTAGATACTCTGCAGTTGATCTCTCTGGTAATTTGGAGCAATCCCCAGTCTCCTCCTTGAGTTTTTTCTTTTGCTTTGCCAACTCTACGATTTCTTGAAACATTTTGTCATGCTTTTGTGGATCAAATTTTGGTGCATCTGGTCTCAGCATGGTGCCTGCTTGTTACTTGGAGAACTTCTGATTTTCTTTCAACTGGTAGAGCCTCTGCAAAGCACTCGACCAGTGAGATCCTTAGAATCCTCAATTGGGTTTTCATGTTCCATGTTTATGCTTTGCCATCCAAATCATCTATGACAAAAAAATCTTTTGGTGGAGTGGAGGGTGTGCATTTACCACAAAGGTCTTAACAGAAGGCCTTTTTACTTCTGTGGAGCTACTCTCAACGCATGGAATGACGTATTTGTTCTCCCCTGGATGAATCGCCCTCCGAAAGCTGCCTTCTATTACGGCAAGGATGAAAGCATAAGAGTTTAACTCAGGGACTTGTAGAAGGATCAACTTGGTGTCTGCTTTGTATATCATAACCATTTGAACCAAACCACATTGTTGACCACCACGTCTTGAACCGGAAAATGCTCAAGAATTTACGATATGCTAGCTTCCCAATTGAGTTCAGAATCCTGTTACTTGCAAACCAAGAAAGGAGCCGTCTCTGAGTTTGCATTAACGAATTTCTACGTGCATGTCAGTGTTATGAAGAATTGAAGAGCAAGCAGACACTCTTACATTCTTAGGACATGAGATCAGAGAGAAGTGTTATGCCATCATCATCCAAATAAAGATTACCATTGAGGGACAGAAAAAATCTAGATTTGGAGGTAGGAAGGGTCTTAGAGATTACGTTAGGAGGAGGAGAGCCATATAGACTTATGAATGAACAAAATGAAACAAGAAATTGGTGATGCATGCGCAGAAAAAAAAAATTCTGAACCAAATGAATAATTCTATAAAAAAAAAAAGGAAGCTAGTGGAGATATTCAAAAGCCATAACATGAGGCAGTAAAACTGAAAAGCATTGACATGTTCAGTCAGAGGCAATTTGGATTGAACAGCAACCAGTGTGGGGTCCTAATGAATGATCAAATGGGCCAGTGCTGAATTCAACCACATTTATCATAAGTATTGCAATCACATCAACTTCGGGACAGTACGTACTTTGATTTTCTACCATACTGAAGCAGAAATTTCTGAAATGTTAGCATGGATCTTATTCTCTTTCAAGATTTTTGCCATTTCATAATTAGTCAAGCATTTGCCAAATTATACTACTTTTTATCTTTATCTTTTGCTAATTGATCGGCATCGACGTATTTGTATTTTTAACATCTGAAACCGAAGCGACCAAGATCATCAGCCCAAACCTGGAAACAAGCTGCATTATTCAATCCAGTTTTCTCCTCGATTTCTTTCTTTTGTCGCTTACTCTATGATTTTTTATTGCAGGATCAGAGATTCATTTGATTGCAGATCTAAGATTCTCCAAACACAACCAAACCGATATGGGATCTCATATACAACTTTGGATTGGTAGAAGCTTATAGATCAAATGAAAGTTTTTTGGCCTTGATGTGTACTGCAAGAAAAGATTTGGGACCAAGTTGAATGCAAGTCTGCAAGATATATGTACACTACATGTATAAAAGCTTGGTCTCTTGTGCAGGAATTGACAGCGGGCCTAGTAGTGTCTCATATTTTGGTAAAAATCTAACATGCTAGAAGATAGGGGCTCCCATGGATACCAGACCAAACATAGCCAGCCACATTAGAAATGTATATCACTCCGGCCACAACGAACTGATCCGGCAGATTTTGTTTCCGATTGACACTTTGCTACCGTAAATGTCATCAAATCGGACCCATTTTCCGCATGGCTATGTTGTGCGTTTGTTGCTACGTGCAACTTGCAAAATTCCTATCTAGAAATTTAGAATAACCAAAGCACGCTAGCTTTTTTGGAACATTATAAATGGTGGAGCTTAAAATTGGTTATCATGTTCCCTATTCTGCCACAGTTAGACCAATAGAGAGGGAAAGCTGATGATGATTTTCTGGGTTAAATCACCGCCCCCACTTGAAAATCCACAGCAACAAGATGTCTTGTTTCTTTCTTCTCTGATGAGTTGAAGCTGAAATTTTGAGTGCCCTGCGCAGTAAGCCATGCTTCACATTCATAGTTGTACAATTGTAATTAATGATGGGCTTAAATCCAATATGTTGGGCTGAATTTGTACTATACGGTCCCTTGAAGAAGCCGGGCAACCGATCACATAAACAATTCACAAGGTTAAAAAAAAGAGATCGCATAAACAATTGAGGGAAAAAAACGACATACACAAATCCCATTTTTCCCAACAGATAAAAAAAATCTTCATCCGTATCTTCCTAAAAACTTCTAACGTGCTTTCATATAAAAAATTTAGAGTAGGAATATGAATGTGACGAAGTTTAAAAAGTATTTTTAATCATTTAAATAGCGTTTTAACGCAATTTTGTTCGTTTAATGTTTTGAGGGGCATATTATTAGTAGTAGACATTTTCATTCATATTCACAATCATACTACAAAAAATTAGATTACCAAGTGTCCAAGATGAGTTTGATTTTTTCATACTCTTCCCAAGCCTTGACACCTTTATAACCAAAATTGAGAAGAAGAAAAAAAAAAAAAAGCGAGACATATACTTAGCATATTTTAAAAAGAAATTAATGAAAAATGAAAAGACATTGAAGGGTGACACCCAACAAAATGCTTCCCCACACCATCTTCTGCCCACAAGACAGCCGAGAACGAGGCCTTCCCTGTTCCTCTACCACCGAACACAACCCTCCCATCACTTTTCGCTAACATACGCGTCCCCTCTTACCCTACGCCCCATCCCTTAACCTACGCACCCCCTTTTCCCCTATCTATCTATACCTTCCCCGACCCCAATTCCATTAAGACCTAGGGTTCCCCTCCCAGCCTCTTCCCCCAAATTCCGAGTCCTCCAGGGTCTTTGGGTTTAGGGTTAGGGTTTTTGAGAGATGTGGGATGCTTCAGGCATTGATGAATCTGCTCTCTCTGTGCTGGAGGCCATTTGGGCGAGGCAACGGTGAGGGACTCGACTCTGTCGGAATTGTCGGTGCAAATTTCCGGGGCGGTGGACGAGATGGCAAAGATAGCTTGCTTTGGTTCCGAGATTTCGGAAAGTACGCGTGGGGCGATTTCTCCATGGCTGTGGTTCAAGCCAACCAGGTGCTCGAGGACCAGAGTCAGATCGAGTCTGGACCCTTTGGGACCTTCGTCGGCGTTTATGATGGCCATGGTGGCCCCGAGGCTGCTCGATACGTTTGCGATAATTTATTCAGACATTTCCAAGGTTCGTGATCCCCGACCCTCCCAATCTGTAGCGAAAGCTCTTACATTCTTCTTAAATATGTATGCTTTTTTTTTTGGGGGGGGGGGGGGGTTTGATTGGCGTGGTTTTGAATTTGCCACGTTTCGTGGATAATATGTGATTGTTAATTTGTGGATTTGAATTGTCAACCGTGATGTCTTCTGGTTCATTTTTCGTGCTTTTTTTTTCTTTTACTTTTTCGTGTGCTTTTGTTAAAGTTGTGATTTTGATTGGTCATTTGAGTTTGGATCACGTAGTATCTTTGCATACAATGCCTATGGGAATTGAATTTATACTTCCACCAACAATTTGCTTAAGACTTTGAGCCCTTTAGAAATATTTTTTTTTTTGGGGACACTCATTGTAATGCAGTGTTTTCATTTCCTCTTTTTATTTCTTTGTGGTTGATTTTGGGGTTGGGTTTCTTGTTTGACTATTGAAGAATGAGCCGCTCTTATGTTGGCTATCTTAGGCATTGTGTTTATGCAGCAATATCAGCAGAGTCAGATGGGGTTGTGACAGCAGAGACCATTAGAAATGCTTTTCTCCGAACAGAGGAAGGGTTTACTGCTCTTGTTTCGGAGTTGTGGAGTACTAGACCCAATGTAGCAACTGTTGGGTCATGTTGTCTGGTTGGAGTGATATGTCAGCGGACCTTATTTGTGGCAAACCTTGGAGATTCCCGTGTTGTGTTGGGGAAGAAAGTGGGAAACACTGGGGAAGTTGCTGCGATTCAGTTATCCACTGAACACAATGCAAATCTTGAGGAGGTTAGGCACGAACTGAAAGATTTGCACCCACATGATCCTCAAATTGTTGTTTTAAAGCATGGAGTTTGGAGAGTAAAAGGGATTATCCAGGTAATTTTCAATGCTATTGTTCATGTAAGAGCTCATTGATTAAGGTGTGCATTAATTCATAACTGCTTAAAGTTCTGTCATGGGTGTTTTTGTTTTCGTACCTGTTGATTTTGACGCCAACATGCAGGGCAATGGTGCAAGGACACTAGTCCTAGCCTCCTGGGTATTCTCTAAATTTTTTTCAAAGCAAGTAGTGTTTAGTTCGAGCATTGGTAGCCTCTGCCCATAGGATCCAACTTCTGATTTATCTGTTAGCTTAGCTCTGTATTGGGGTTAACGTGACTAATGCCCCCATTTTATTTTTTGGGGGAAAGGATTTTTGGGCTCTGAAATGCTTCTCTGCAAACTTTCATAATTTTGTTTTTTCTTAAATGGGGATTTCTTGTGAATAACTCCTTTATTGTATTTAGTGCAGGTGTCGAAATCAATTGGTGACGTATATATGAAACATGCACAGTTTAACAGGGAGCCAATTAATGCAAAATTCAGACTTCCTGAACCAATGCACATGCCTATCTTGTCTGCCAATCCGACTATTCTTTCTCATCCTCTCCATCCAAATGATTCTTTCCTTATATTTGCATCTGATGGTCTATGGGAACACTTGACTAATGAAAAAGCTGTTGAGATTGTCCACAAGCATCCACATGCTGTAAGATTCTGGCCTTTCATTTTATTCGTGTTTAGTAACTCGCATTTGCATGCACGTTTGTTTCATAATTTCATTCCTACCTTGATGCCTTGATGTAGACATCAAATGAACTTAAACTATTAGTACAATATATGAAGTATTTGATTTTTTTTACTGGATACTTGGACGAAAACCTAAACATTTCAATATTCTTGAAATTTTTATTCTTTATTCCTTGCTGCCATAATTTATCTGATAGCAAGAGGTTGATGATGATTGTGCTTACTTGAGTTTATAGGATCTAGAACGAGTTAACAGAATCTTTTGAACAACTCTTTCTGAAGACTACCCATCCAAGGAAATATGAACTTAAGGATAAACACTTGTCTTTTTAATTTGCAACTAAGGTTAAAAAGAAGATGGAAAAATAAGCATAGTTGTTTTGAGCCACGGTTAATGCAATGACTTGGACATAAAGTTTCAAACATTTGCTGGTATATGATGCTTTATTCATATTTCTGTTTTAACGTGATTATTATTCCATTCTTGATCTCTAGTTCTGACTATTTCTCTTAATATAGGGAAGTGCCAAAAGGCTTGTAAAGACGGCTCTCCAAGAAGCCGCAAGAAAAAGAGAAATGAGATATTCAGATCTTCGGAAAATTGACAAGAAAGTCCGACGCCATTTTCATGATGATATAACTGTCATTGTTTTATTCTTAAACCATGACTTAATATCCAGCGGCACAGTGGAAGAACCTCCAGTCTCAATAAGAAGTGCTGTTGACCACTGATACTTTTCTGGAACCAAACGTCTCCACCACCTCCGATTTTGGTCCATGCTTCAAAGATCGTACCACTCGGAAAGAATTTTTATTATGCATGGCTAAGAGAGGAGCACTGACAAACCACCCGGATCCTGTGATCATGCTCGAGTGAAGAGGCTTGAAAGTTTTAAATGTTAGAAGATTATTTTAATAATGCCTGTTGTAGTTGGTTGCCTCCCAAATACAGAATGTGAGAGCCGCAATGTTCTATTTATTTTTGTCATTTTTAAAACCACCAAGTGCAGATGCCCCTTGTTTAATTTATCCAACTAGCGTCCCTGGAAATTTGTATCTGGGAGATTCAAAATCATAGATCCCAAAAAAAAAAACATAATCTTTAACAACATTTTTGCAAGAATGAGTAATTTATAAGCACACAAAACTGTTTCATATAATTTTCAATCTTTGCTTCAGTTAAAGACCGAGCAACAGCCGGGCACATGAGGTCATGTGTTTGATTCTCCCTTATACCAATGTAGCATATAGATGCCTTCCTTCTCTCTGACCCAAATTTAAGGCCTAGCTTGAGAGTTGCTCATGATTGAATTTTCAAAATGCACATTGCACATCTCTCTTCTCCCATTTACGACCGTCTCACAAAAGAACCGCATTATTTGGTCCAAAAACTCATTAAAACCCCGCCAACCCAATTCGCGAGTCCATTATTGTATTAAAGCGCAAATTTTGAGAATAACAATTTAGCATTTTCTTCTCTTGCTCATCTCCTCAGGCTGAGAGTCTCGTTCTGAGTCTCGCCCAGCTGACCCAGCCATGACAAAGTCCATCTTCAACCATTAGTATATGTAATTTCTCATACTCTTCGCCTACATTTCAATTGCCCTTCGGGTTTAGCTAATTCTTCGACTGAGCTACCGCAGCTATGGCTGCCAAATCAAATCCAATATCAACGCCAATGATACATGCCTTTGTTTTCGCACTGAGCCTGTTTGTGTTTCAATCCGAGTCGGCGCCTCAGGCTTTTCGGAGAGATCCAGGTCACCCTCAGTGGCACCACAGTGCCTTCCACGACGTCCGAGATGGCGTTCGATCCGATGTTCGCCGCATGCTCCATTCTCGTGCTGAGGTGATTTTATCATCCGCTTAATCTATATTTCTTTCTCAACAGCAATTGGAAAACAAATAGGAAACTCACACAATTTTGAAATTAGGTTTTAATTTTTGAGAAATTCAACATGTTCCCTCATGACTGTGACTGTGAGTGATTCTCCTGTGTGTGTATGTAGGTTCCGTTCCAGGTTCCGCTCGAAGTGAATGTGGTGCTTATTGGTTTCAATGCTGATGGAGGCTATAGGTACTCGGTCGATGCGCACAAATTGGAAGAGTTTCTGAAAATCAGCTTCCCATTGCATAGGCCTTCCTGCCTGGAGACAGGACAGCCTCTCGACATCGAGCATCAAATTGTCTATAATGCCTTTCCTGTAAGCTTCATATCCGACTGTAGCATTCTCGTTTAGATATTATTCACATAATATTCGATATATGGATGCATATGATATGATATGTACATTAACTATATATTTCATCCAGTGTTTGGATCTTGTATTTGTTCTAATTACAGGCCGGGCAGCCAGAACTAATAGCTCTTGAGAAGGCACTGAAAGAGGCTATGGTTCCTGCAGGAAATGCAAGAGAGGTGACTCCCATTGTTTGCCTGCTGTACCTTGTTTTCTGGAGAAAGTTATGAGTATTATTTTGTCTTTTGGAGAATGAAGTTTTAAATTGTTGTTCAATATTTAGGCTGATTTTGGAAGGGAAGTACCTCTGTTTGAAGTGGATGCAACTGTAGTGGAGCCTGTATTTCAGACGTTATATTCCTACATATTTGACACAGAGAGTGCTGCTTATTCCACTGCTGATGATATGGATCGGCAAGTTCCAAGTGCAATATTTATAGTCAATTTTGATAAGGTATGGTCTGCAATCATCATAGTTAATGGTCTCGCTTTGTCTACCACATTAATCCTTCAATTTATGTGTTACTTTACCATATGATTTTGCACATGTGAAGTGCGAATTGTTACCGCAAAAGAAGAAAGAGGGGAATGTGCTTATGAAGTATTTCTCAAACCATTCGTTAATAGTCTCACTCAACTGTACTTATTATTTCTGTGTGTTCACTTGTTTTGCAGGTCAGGATGGATCCGAGGAATAAGGACATTAATCTTGACAGCTTAATGTATGGCAAACTTACACAGCTCACTGAGGAAGATATGAAAAAACAAGAGGGAGACTACATTTATCGCTATCGATACAATGGAGGTGGTGCATCTCAAGTTTGGCTTGGCTCTGGCAGGTATAGTTAGCACAGTTTTATTTGTAGAAGAAGCCTGATTTTGGTATACCAAATCAGTTGCATACTACTTTAGGGTGTAAGTAATCCATTTGGTTATGCACCTATCTTTTGTGCTCTTTGTTGTAGTAAAAAGAGGGGCAAGCTTAGTACATAGAGTAATGTGGACTGATGAACATGCAAACATGTTGCAATGCAATAATACTTCAAGTATGTGGAATGATGTGCTTGAACATGTGAAGTATTGGGTAGTCTGTTACAAAGATTTTCTCGAAGTCTTTTAGGTTGTTCTGAGTTATGGTTGGTGTGTTATTTTTGTCTCTATATAGGTGGTGTAGTTATTTGTGGGAGAGTTGTTATTTTGTGTTTTTTTTTTTTTAATTATAAATTTTTTACATTGGGGATAGCACGTGAATAAAAGATAGCATTATACTTTGCAGTTTACAATGGTGGTTAGAAACATTCATATGTTCCGTATCACATTGAAGGGGTTGATAGATTATATGCTGTGTTTTAGGAATATGTTATGTTACTCTCTCTAACCATCTGTCTCTGCATTTTTTTCTTTTTAAAATGAAATTAAAAATCTAATTTCCTGCCTGTGCTGTTCAGATTTGTTGTGATTGATCTCTCAGCAGGCCCATGCACATATGGAAAGATTGAAACTGAAGAGGGAACTGTCAGTTCCAGGACATTGCCACGACTTAAGAATGTGGTGTTTCCAAGAGGTTTCGGTGCAGCTAGTGATCATCCTACACATGATGTATTTGTTGGACAACTTGCCTCTTTAGTATCCACCACAGTTGAGCATGTTATAGCTCCAGATGTTAGGTACTCAGTCTATCTTATGGCATGTTGATTTGACACCAAGCATGGTGTTGTTTATAACAATTATGCACTTTTTATTTGTGGTTGTTAATCATGTGTTTATGGTCTTAACTCAGATTTGAAACTGTTGACCTGACAACAAGGCTGCTTTTACCAATAATTGTCCTCCAAAATCATAATCGCTACAACATTATAGATAAAGGCCACAACTACAGTATAAATATTGAAGCAATTGAGGCAGAGGTGGGTTGTTTCCTCTGGGATAACTCAACATCTTCATGATTGCCTATGTTAACAAGTGCCAGAGTAAAGAAAGAATAACTCTTTCACTTTTAGGATCATGCAGTCGCAGCAACCCTCGCCCATGAGTAATTCCATATTTGTGATTTGAAATACATAAACCCAAAATCACTTCCATTTTTGTTTGATATGTCCTTTTCAGGTGAAGAAAATGGTTCATGCTGGGCAAGAAGTTGTGATTGTTGGGGGTTCACATTCGTTACATCGCCATGAGAAGTTGTCGATTGCTGTTTCAAAAGCTATGAGAAGCCATTCCCTGCAAGAAACTAAGAATGATGGGCGCTTCCATGTTCATACCAAGACATATCTGGATGGAGCTATTCTTAAAGAAGTGGGTACTTCTTTATTTATCCTAATGTCATCAAATTTCGTTACCCGGTGTTTTTGGTGTCAAATTATTCATTTCTATTTTATATACCATTTGCGAGGTTCTTGGTGAAAAATTGTGTCATGAATGTCTTTCTATATGCATTTCTGTGTACTTTTGGCCCCATTTAGATGTCATCATATTTTGAGTTAAAAATTCATGCTTCTTTCCTAGATGGCATTTGAATTAGTGAGATTATATGTACGTTCTATTTTTCTTTTCTCACTGAGAAGTGCTCATTCCAGGAGATGGAACGTTCCGCTGATGTGCTTGCTGCTGGTTTGCTTGAGGTGGCTGACCCAAATCTTTCAAGTAAATTTTTCCTCCGCCAGGTTGGTCAAATCTGATACAGTTGTACATGTTTTGCATGTGGTGCAACAAATGTTCACATTGATTTTTGTTCTCTGAGACTTGTTTCTTCTGTAATTAATCTCTAAGTAGAATTTTCTTCCCTTCTTGTCTTCATTGTCCTAATTTTTGTACTTTTTGTTCCCCAGCATTGGGCAGATGAATCCGAGGCTTCAAGTGATTCTATTCTAAAGCATAAACCTCTTTGGTCCACTTATGAATCAAAGCACGGAAAGAAAAAAAAAAGAGTAGAAAGGAAACAAGGAGAGTTTTACCGAACTTATGGAACAAGAGTGATTCCTGTGTGAGCATCCCACCTTGAGTTCCCCTGCAGTATAATTTTAGTACTATTCTCATAATGGTGTCTTCATTCTTCTTTCATATAATTACATGTAACATGCTTTTGTTGAGTCCGTCTTGCTTAACTATTTCCGCATTTTTATGTATAGCCTGCTACCAAGAAATTTAGAATGAAGATATGATCATTGAATTTTATAGTTAATTATTCAGATTTCTGTTGCATATAACTTTTCAAGGCTTGCTTCCAATTTTTAATGACATGTACTGTCGCCTATCTCTGGTAACTAGAAGTTTGGAGGTAATTCTGGGTGTCCTTACCTGTTTTTTACTACAGTGCTAGCAACATATAGCTTGCATCACTCATCAAATTAATCTGTAATGATTGCTGTAAATAATTGTTTGATATCTTTTTTTTTCCCACAGTTTTGTGCTATCATTGGCTGATGTGGATCCACACCTTATGATGGAAGACGAAAGTCTTGTATGGACAAGCAAAGATGTAGTGATTGTACTTGAGCATCAAAATGAAAAGATACCTCTTAGGTGAGGAAACAGTGATTTATTGCCAGGCTTCCAGCATTGTAGCATCATTGAACATGTACTGTTTGTGTTTCAATCACTATAATGTATTGGTTAGTCACAGCTATTTTGCTAACTTTCCCTAGTTACAACATATGTCATGTGGGTGGGTAAACGTCAAAGAAGAGTATTGAGTCAAATCTGTTTTATTTTGAAGTCTGTGCAGGGTTCAGCATAGTACATTGTGGCTTTTCTAACTACTTGAAACTATCTTGTCATATTCTGTAACAC